GTACAGATATGTACAGGCAAAAGCACTCATATGACTAAAATAAATCTAGACAGGTGGTGGTGGCACACACCTTTAACATCAGCACTCAGGAGGTAGAGGCAGGTAGAGCTCTGTGAGTTCTAAGCCAGCCTAGTCTACAAAGAGAATTCTAGGACAGCTAGAACTGTTACAAAGAGCAAACCATGTCTAAAAAACAGCAACAACAAGAAAAGACAAACACACTTATCCGTTCAGTATCCACAATGTTTGTTCTTGGTCTTTCCCAAAAGATATCAAAATCCAAACTTTCAAGTACTCTATACAATACAGAGTATTTATCTATATAACCTACACATAACCTCTTATGTACTTTTACTTCATCCCTAGGTTATTTAAAATAACTAATGCAATCTTAAAAAAAAAAAAAGATTTATTATATATACAGTGTTCTGCCTGCAAGCCTGAAGAGGGCACCAAATTTCATTATAGATGACTGTGAGTCACCATGTGGTTGCTGGGAATTGAACCCAGAACCTCTGGAAGAGCAGCTCTTAACCTGAGACATCTCTCCAGACCTACCTAGAGCAATTTTTTGTTGTTGTTGTTGTTGTTGTTGTTTGGTTTTTTGTGTATGTTTATTTTTTGAGATAGGGTTTCTCTGTGTAACAGCCCTGACTGTACTGAAACTTGCTCTGTAGACCAGACTAGCCTTGAACTCACAGAGATTCTCTGCCTCCTAAGTGCTGGGATCCTAAAGCAATCTTAATGCTATATAAAGAGTTGCATTTTTGAACAATGACATAGAAATATGTTCAGTACAAACGCAGGGTATGTTCAGATACTTCTGTTGTTGGCTGACTCCATGGATTAGCAAACCCACAGATGGAGGGTTCATCTATATTATGGAATTACACTTATAATATGTATACATAATAGTTTAACTCAAAACAAAAAAAAAAAAAACAAAGAAAAAAAAAACAAAGTAGGAAAAGCATCCTCAAGAAGTGTAGGGAATAGGAGTTATTAATAGGTAGTTTTAATTTTCTAGGCACTGCTTGCACAAAAATGTGAATATACCATAGAACTGCCTGCTTAAAAATGAAGATGGGAATATTTGATTTCTACATCTTGATATATTTTTAAAGTAAGGGACTTAGGGATGGCATGATGACTCAGCAGAGAAAGGCACTTATCACCAAACCGGAGGACCTGAATTTGAGTACAGGGACCAGCATGGTGGGAGGATAAAACCACTCCCACAAGTTATCCTTTAACTTCACATTCACTGTGGCATGCTACACCTTTCCACACACCAATGTCATTATATTTTTTAAATAAAACTTAATTAAGGGGCTTACAATTTTTCCAGTGGGACAGAGGGTGTACCTCTATACTGGGATCTTTGTCTGGCATACACAAGGTTCTGGTTTCATATCCAACCTCACAAAGACTGACTATTCACTATTGTTTCAGGTCACATTTCAACCTGGTGTACAGGCAGTATACAGTCAAGTATAATAACCTACTACTATTTAGAAAGGTTATTGACAGTTTAAAAGTACCAAAGAAATTGTTGATAATCTAAGGGGAACGAAAAACCACAAACTCAAATAGGAATCAACTTTTCACTATTTCACTAATTAACATTAAAGGAAAAGCCTGGCCAGGCATGGTGGTACATGCCTCTAAATTCAAGGCTAGCCAATCTACACAATGAGTTCCAGGCCAGCAATGGCTACAATGAGATCAGCTCCCCCCGCCAAAAACAAAGGTCATCCAACTCATCTCACACTGAAGTCATCATTGCCAAATGGAGTAAATACTCCCATTTAAAATCCTCAAAGCAATAAAGAGTTTTCCCCTTTTTTAAACACACCATTCCAAACAAATAATTCAATCAGTGCTACTGTACTGGTGAGTGGGATAGAGTCAGACCAGCAGGAAAAATCATGATGTGCAGGACAGAGTCAGATTCAGCAGGTAAACCTAACTTTAAAAAATCTGAAAAAGAATGCTACAAACACTGAAAAACAAAAAAAACACAGAATATAAAAATACATCTATATAATGAAACTGTCCAATGTATCAACATTCTTAAGCCTAGCCACTTGAGCTTATTTTCATAGTCTCAAAGGATCAATGTCATTTGAAGCTACTAACATATGTGGACAAAAATTTTCAAGTTTATCTTCAATAAACAATTTCATAAGGTGTTGCTCTTAAAGGCAAGGGTACTGTTTACCAAATATTTAAAAGGACCACCTACATAGGCAGATAATTTGTTAGTGGAATATCCAAAGGTGCTTGAGAAAACCATCCAGGACTCTTTTGTGCTCAGCTCTTTTAAAACCTTACAATTCTGAGTATCCTACCTAATTAAGAATGTCAAGTTAGGGCTGGAGAGATGGCTCAGTGGTTAAGAGCACTACCTGTTCTTCCAAAGGTACTGAGTTCAATTCCCAGCAACCACATGGTGGCTCACAACCATCAGTAATGAGATCTGGTGCCCTCTTCTGGCCTGCAAGCATACATGCAGGCAGAATACTGTATACATAAATAAATAAATAAATAAATCAAAAAAAAAAAAAAAAAAAAAAAAAAAAAAGAATGTCAAGTTAATAAACGCAATATAAAAATTAGTGTTCTTGCAACTAATTATATAAAATCACCTGTGTTAGTATGTGTAAGGAAAAAGGCTATTGCCATAAATGTACAAATAAATGTGTGTACATTTAACCCATATTTAATTAAGAAAATGATTTGAAACCATATTAAGATGTATAGATGATCTATAAGACTAACATGCCATCTTCCAGTTAACCCACCTTCTCTCATTTCTTTCAACTATTGAGACTATATCCAGTATTGCTATTATTCAGCATGAAATACTTATGTACAAAAATACAAAAGTTACAGAATAAAGCTACTCTACAAAGTTCTTTTCCAAATATTCAAATATTTAGATTAAATATTTTCAATTATTCAAAACTCTGATAACTTCTGTTTAATAGGAAATATCAGATATTTAAATAAACAAAAAATGCTTTTATGATGAAAATCCAAAAGAATGTCTTCTCCCAAGTAAAACTGACTCAAAATTTTTCCATTTATTGAGAAACTGTAGCTTCTTAATTATTTCAAAGCTAGTTTCATTCTGTGCAAAAACCATTACCACTGCTTCCTAAATCCTAGCTGATTCACTAAAATAACTGAGAGACATTATCCTTCCTTCTTACGAGATATAAACCCTGGTCGGTAAGAACATCCCAATCTCCAGGTTTCCTTCTCTCGGTCAAAGTGCTCTTTGACAAGAGCTCTGCCTTCAACCTTAAACTTCCTACAAGAGTAAGTACACAAATGCCCTGATCTCTCCATGGTTAACTGTTCTCCTATAGGACTTTCTGCTGTTTAAAGTATGTAGATGAAGGTGGATGTAACCAAATAATGTTCCCTCAATGAAATGTGACACAGAATAATAGGAAAATGATAGTTCTATACCTCACAACCTGACAACAAAATAAAGGAATGGATCTTAAAACTTAAAAGTTTGATTAAAATCCTAAATGATAAAATAGCACTACATACAACATAGGAAAGGCTTTTACAGAAACAGACCAGCAAGGGGCAAAGCAACAGCAAGAAATAAAAAATATTTACTAACTAAACGGTGGAAATGCTGCTCAGAGGTCTGACTTGTAAGGCATACTTCTAATGCTACAGGACTCAATTCCACCATTCCTAAAGATGGTTAACTGTTCAAGAGCTGTCTCCAAATGAAGCATATAGCTTGTGAAGTCATGGAAAGAATTTCCCTGAAATGTTCTAAATTCATGAGAACTGTGCATTATGGAACTTGGGAAAAATATATAACACATATTCCTAAATATAGCATTATGGTAATAGTGCTTTGCATACTGAATTCCTTGGGTGTGGTATTACTCCATGTGTGTAGCACTACACATTCTTTGGTATCATGTATTTCTAGGATAGCAATATCATAAGTTATAATGGATCACCTCACATTTCCTTGGTGAATGACTTGTAATTTAAGCTCTTGTCTCATCCTCACAGATGAGGGACTTTTAGGGAGCTGCAGGTAGATAGGCAAGCTTTTATGTTTCTCATTTTTCCAAGGGTTTGGAAATTTTAAACTTTAAAAGGTCAGAAGCTACTTCCTACTACAGTAACTTCTAATATTATGTGCTTCTAGAGACATCTGAACGTAGTCAACCAACTACTAAGCTCCTGACAAATCTTACCTTCCCAAGTATACTACCTAGGTTAAGATAAACCCTAATCTAACAGTCATTTCTTCCAACGACTTTACTAATATAGAAACAACTGCTAAGTCAACCAGCAGCTGTGACCCACTGCAATAGGTGCATATGTGCCTACACAGAGCATAGTTTCAGACTGGTGTATTGACTTCCCTTTTATGTCTTTTATGAACTTTGAGGGGCTGAAACCAAATTTATGTCAATGTTCTAGCCAAGAATTTAGATTCAAATTCTGAATGCAAATACATTTAAAGGGGGAAATGAGGGACAGAAAAACCATACACCTTAGGTGTTTTGGATTGTGTGCACACTGTATTTCAACCTCATTATGCTTTATGCTTCTATTCCACGTTGCATACTTTTGGGCTGGATTGTGTTTTTATACACATAATAAAAACAACTCTTTTCTACCTTAGTATTCAACCTACCTGCCCATAGTTGTCTATGCCAGTTACTAATCTATTTAAATTTAACAAATCAAAAGCTGTCCTTAGGGATTGGCCAAGAGTCGTAAGTCCTTCTGCCTGAAGGTTTTTCAGTTCATTCATAAACGTTGCATGATTTTCTTTCCATCCAGCCTGAAAAGAAAGATGTAAGAATTTTTTTTTTATCATTTGAAGCCACGAGCACACACGGACACCGATTAAAACGTGATGTCCACCAAGCAGGTATTCCACTTCGGGTTTGTATAGTTAACTTCACTTTTGATTTATGGCTTGGGTCACATGTTCTAACTGTTGTCTCTGGTGAGGAAACTCTTCCATAGGTGGCCAAGAATGAACCTGCTTGCCCTACACCTTTTGGTAAGTAACAACAGTCTTAATACTTTAATAAGTTGACTGGGAAATTTGCTAACATAACATCCTCCAAAGTGTGTAAGGGGTGGGTGTTGCGAAGGTACTAGTGGAAGGCAGATGGCAGCAGGACTTCTTAAGTTGACCACAGCTGTCCCACCAATCGGTGGCCTTCCTAGTTCCACTCTGTGATGATCAAGTCTCGAGGCCCCCCTCCTGGCTTCCCTGCCAGCTTGGGCTGATTCTCCCTTTTAATGCAAACCCGGGCTAGGCAAGGCTGGGCCCGGCTGTCACTCGGGCTAACTTGAATAAATATCCCCCACAGTTCATTGCTGCCGCTCACGCCGCGGAGGGGAAATGTCGGCCATGTTGATCGTAGCGCCTCCGCCGCCAGGCCGAGCCGGACCCGGAGGGGACGGCAGTGGGCCAGAAACTGCCACCACGCCGGCGCTCCCGAGCTGGGGAGGGGTGGGAGGCCGCAGGGGAAAGGGACCTGGAGGCGGGAGCGGCGGTGGGGGAGGGGAGCATAATGAAGAGGGGGGCGGGGAGGGCGAGCTAGGAAGGAGCAGGGAAGGGAAGGGGAGGGGGGAGGGCGAGGGCTGTTACCTTGATAGCATAGGGCGGCTCTTCGAAAGTGACCAGCATATACCTGTCTCCTCTGCTGGCAGGGTCCCGGGCACGGAGCTGCGGGCCAGGGTGGGGACGGGAGGGAGAGAGAGAGGGAAGCACAGAGGCGAGGTTACCAGTGGCAGAAGGGTCGCTGGCCGCCCCCACAGTACCGCACACGCAGGGCCACCCCTCCGCCGATCCCCCACCCCCGCACCCTCAGTAGCCCCACATGGGCCAGGCCCGGCGGAGCCCGCTCCCAGCGCCCGCCCGCCCGCTCGCCCGCCCGCGCGGTGGGGGAGGGGTCCCCGCGCCCGCGGCGCCCGCAGTAGCCCCGCCGCCCCCCCTCCGCCCTGCCCCCCGCGGGCCACCGGGTCGGGGTCGCCACCGGGGCTCGGTCAGTCGGTACCTTCATGAAGGTCTCTACCGCGCCTTTGGCCGTGTCCAGGTAGGTGGTGCCCAGATGGCTGCGCTGGTTCATAGAGGCAGACGTGTCTATCAGGAACAGTAAGATGGGCATAGTGCTGGCCGGGGACACCGGGGCCCGAGGTGGTGAAGAGATGGCAGCGGTGGAGGCACCGGCTGCGGCGGCGGCAACCGCCGCTACGCGGGGCGGGGAACGCGGTCCCCGGGAGGAAAACACCGGCTGTGGGGAGTTTCTCCCCCGATAGTTGAGAGGAAACTCCCTAGCCCAGGTCCTCCCGGTCGTACCCCCGCCTCCGGCCTGCCTGCCCGCTGGGGCGGCCGCACGGACGTCTGTCCGTCCGTGCCCCCCGCCTGGAGGGGGTCCCGTCCCCACTCCCGGCCCCTGTGTGTGTCCCCGCGGGAGACGGGCCCAGTTCCCCACCCCACCCCCAGTGCAGGGAGTGGGGAGCAGGGATCTGGCGAAGAGGGGAGTGGGCTGAGGGAAGATTGGCCCTGGGGCTGTTGGGAGAAGTTTCAGGGACTCCCTCCGCACCCCAGCGGTGTCACCACTTTCTCAGCCCCTCTCGCTACTGAAGCGCTTTTCTCTCTCACTCTCCGGTTTTAACTCGGGCAGGGGCTACGTAGGCTCCGCCCCTGACACGTACTCGCGTCACGTGATGCCCAGCCCCGCCGCTCTACTGGCTGGGCCTCAGAGCCTCATTAGCATATTCAAACAGCTCAGGGGCGGGGGAAGTCTGTAGGCCGACTTAGAGGACAGTTATTGAGCACGCGCGGAGGCGGGGCACAGGGAGGGAGGAGCGCCGGGAGGCGGGCTCCGGGAAGGGGCGGGGCCACGCCGCGGAAGCACCGCGGGCGGGGGGCGGGGACTGTGTCGGCGCGCGCAGAGCGGCCGCGGCTGTGGGCGTGCGTGTCAGGGCGGCCGGCCTTTGGGCTTGTGCGCGGTTGACAAGGGTCGGGAGAAGGGAAGTGGAAGCCGCCCTCAGGCTGTGGGCGAGGGCTCTGTGTCGTGATTGAGAGTGCAGGGCTGGGGAGAGTGAACCGACGAGGGCTAGGGAACCGCGCAGGCTCACGCGGCCGGAGCAGGCCCGGTCCCCGGACGGCCTGGGGCGCCTGGCGGGGGAGGGGAAGTGAAAGGTTGTTTATGACCTGGTCCTAATCCCCCGCCAGTTCTTCGGCTCCGGTTGCAGCCGGTCAGAGGACCCACCGAAAAGGAAGCCAGTCCTGGAGTGCCTCACCCAACCCTGCAAACACGAAGGGGAACTCAAATGTGGACGAGGCAAGCCAACCGCGCTGTCCTCCCCAGCCAAGTTCCCTCTTCAGCTCGCGTTAGGGCACTAGAATATATTAAGAAATTAAAAGGACTTGCCAAATCCTAGTCCACTGCCCTTTTTAAAATGGAAAGGATGACCACGTTGCGCAGGTGACCCAGAGAATAGGTTTCCCGGAAACCCGCCTTTCAGTCCCTGCCAGTATTGTGTCGGAAACCGTTCTCGCCCATGTCACATTACCCCCAAGTCTTCACTCTGCGCCTGCAAGTCCGAAGAACTGTTCTCAGACGTAGTTGGGAAACTGCAAGGACGCTGCTGATAAACAAGTTGAATTTGGGACGTAGAGGCCTTGGTAGACTGTAGGTATTTATAGGGCCTCTCCCACCGGCCCTGCAGTTCCGTATTTTCTCTATGCAGAAATTCTGGCCTGCTGGGCAACTGAAGTGGCATGCTTGTGGCACTTTTTTTTTTTTTTAAAAAGGGTTCTGCCTTTGTTGTTTGGGCTTTTCCTCATATTTTAGGGGGAAAAACTGAAAGTTTTTAACTTATTAACAAATTGTAGCGTGCTGTTTTGTAGGAATGAACCATAGTAGAAGCATGAGATTATTAGAGATTCAGACTATAAAAAATGAACTACCAGCCAGTATTTGCTGCAGACTGGTTATGCCTAGGGCTGATGGGAATTAATATATAAATAAAAGGGGGGGCCTGACTTCAAGGAGTCTAAAAACATAAAGACTTTGAAAATCAGAAGATGATTGCTATAATTCCGGAAGAAAAAGAAATCTATTAAATTTTGTAGTTTCCAAGGTTTGTGTGTGGTACTTCTTGAGAATCTAGATCCTGATCAGGGATTGATGACAAGTTGCTTGCACAGCCATGCATGCTGCTTTTCTCTTTCCAGGCAAGTGCAGAATTTTCATAGAGTTAGTCTCATTTTCTTATCAGGGCGTTTAAGGTGCGTGTGGGCCCTGCCTGTCTGAAAACAGACCCCTATGGGCTATAAGAATGTCTGTTTCCTGTGTATTGTGGAATGATGTGAGTCCAGTGTGAGTTAAAGAAGCAGCAGTTGCCGGTGAGAAGAAAGAAGAAAAAAAAAATCAGGCCACTAGAAATGTGAAGGAAGGTAGAGCAGCATTGCTGATGGCCACAGCTAGAGCAGCACCGCCAGGAAGGTCGCTGGGCACAAGACAGCAGAACACCTTTAGTCCCCTGAAGGAAATTCCCTCCTCTGTCTTAGCTCAGTTCTGTTGAGGGGTGCAGGAAACCCAAGGAGTCAGTGGTTGAAATCACTTGACAGGAGCACCGTGGCAGTTCTTCCCTGGCTCAGTGCGGTTAGCAGGTTGTCACCCTAGGGTTGTCATGGAGGTGTGTGGAGGACACTTCTGCAAAGAGGAGAGCCAAGTCCAGAGAACTAACCCGAAGCAATTAGCCAGAACCCGTGCTTGTGATGGCACTGGAGACCAAAGATCATGTTTTCAGCCAGGAAGTCCAGAAGTTCTGAATGACAAGGCCGTCAAGGGAACAGGAAAGAGATAAGCAGCAAATACACAGTGAGAAACCAGGAAACATTCACAGTCGGTCCTTAGACAAAACTGAAATGGGCCGCCTTGATTTTGAAGTGACTCCTGGTCATAGTTTGGTGATTGGTTGATGATGGTTTAAAAGCAGTTCTTAGCCAAGACTTACACAGCAGCACTACCTACAGAGCTTTAAAACGTAATGCACCAAGCGTCCGTGCCCAGAGGAGGACACGAATCAGTGGAATTCGGAAGATGGCGGAGAGAGTAAAAGCACTTGTCTCCTGGTGACTTGGTTCCCTGGAACCCACTTAAAGGGAGGAGAGCTCGCACTCCACGAAAGTTCCCTCTGACCTGCATGTGTTGCACATTGCACCTGCGTGTCACATACATCATGTGCACAGTAATAAAATTAAATTTGAATTGGGATGGGCCCTGGTTTCCGGGTTTTTTAAATTTATTCAGCTGACTCTTAAATAGTGCTGACTACTAACCCCATATTTAGGGCTGGCAAGATGGCACCGGAGGTAAAGACACTTGCCTCATAATCCTGGCAACTTCAATTTGATTCTCATAATGCACATGGCAGAAGGAGAAAACTGACCCCGTGAGGCTGTCTTCTGACCTTCACAGTTATATCCTGTGGCATGCACCCCTCCCACATATACCATGACATACATGATACTACATGTTTATTGTCTGGCCTCTGCTAGTATTTTCCACATACCCTTATAATTACTGCATTTGCTAAAATAAATAAATAAATGGGAAAATGCTAAATGTGATGGTGGATTTGTGGCAGTATGTACATAATGCCAACTTTATTTGGCAAAAGGGGAGAGAGCTAGAACAAGAACACAAATGGCTCTGGAGAATGCCACCATACCTCAGCGAGCTTTGGCCCTGCAGGAAACAGATGAACACAGTGAATCTCTCCTTCGTTCATTTTCTTCTTGTGGTACTTGAAGACGTCTACTTATATTCATGCTTACTTTCCTAAAATATGGTCCCTAAATTCAAGCCGAGCAGTTCCCAAGATTCAACTGAAGAAATAGCTGTGGTGTCGCTGACGTGCCAGACTCTGGTATCTGCAAGGGCTGTGCTGCATGTGGTGAAAGCCGTCTCTGAGGGGCACTAGTCAGAGCCATGATAGGGGAGGAGCTGGTCTTTGTTTCCCAGCACCCGCATG